CCGCACGGGCTCCTTGGCCGCCCGCCTCGGCAAGGGGGTGGCGGGCGGCTCGGCGAGGAGGAGGAGGAGGAGGAGGGAGGGGAGGGGAGGAGAGGAGGGAGGAGGAGGAGGAGGAGGAAGGAGGAGGATGGAGGAGGAGGAGGAGGAGGAGGAAGGAGGAAGGGGGGAGGAGGGGGGAGGAGGAGGAGGAGGAGGAGGAGGAGGAGGAGGAGGAGGAGGAGGAGGAGGAGGAGGAGGAGGAAGGAGGAGGAGGAGAGGAGGAAGAAAAGGAAGAGGAGGAGGAGGAGGAGGAAGAAAAAAGAGGAGGAGGGGGAGGAGGGGGAAGGAGGAGGAGGGGAGGAGGAGGAGGAGGAGAGGAGGAGGAGGAGGGGAGGAGGAGGAGGAAAAGAGAGGGGGGAGGAGGAGAGGGGGAGGAGGAGGAGGAGGAGGAGGAGGAGGGGAGGAGGAGGAGGAGGAGGAGGAGAGGAAAGGAGGAAGGGAGGAGAGGGAGGAGGAGGAGGAGGGGAGGAGGGAAAGGAGGAAGGAGGAGGAGGAGGAGGAGGAGGAGGAGGAGGAGGAGGAGGGGGAGGAGGAGGAGGAGGAGGAGGACAAAAAAAAAGACAAGACCACCTGCGAGCCATAGTTTCATGTCTCTGGGGGAAAACTGGACTACCTTCGGCAGTCAGAGATTATATGGATTAAATGGCTCTGTGTTGCGCATTATGAACGCCCACCAGCGGCTTCGCTGGGGGACACCACTGGCTTAAAGAGGGACGGCCTGTTGGGGACACCTTAAGCCGCCTTCCAGAAGCACCAGTCCCCAACTTAGCAAGATAGGGGCGAGTCATGAGGTCGCCATCCTACTAGTATATCTATCTCGAAACTACTGCTCCGATGTGTCAGGTCTGGGGCGAGGGAGGGGAGCCAGGAAATGGAAGGCCGTGGGGGAGCGAACCGAGGAGAGGGGGAAGTCAGTAGCTAGTGTCTGTACTCTAGCAACGCGACTAAGCAGGGCTTCGAGTTCTAACTCGGTTTCCACGGGTTCTCCTGAAACGTGAAACATGGAGAAAGCACGATCACCTGCTTTATACTTTAAGATGGGGGCCTCGGACCTACTCTGAAGACGATTGAGCGCCTCAATATTCAGTTGTCCGCGGAGAACCATATTTTTCATGTTTTCCGAGCCTGCCACCTCATGAAGCCGTGCCGCTAGTAACTGCCCTCGTCCTCGGCGGTGCTGCCCTTGCCCTTCTTGCTGGCCTTGACCTGCGACTGGACACTCTGGTTGCTGATGCCGATCTGCTGCAGGAGGATCTCCGCGTCGCGCTCGAGGGCTCCGCGAGGAGCGCTGCCTGGCTTGTACGTGCCCTTGAAGTGGTACATGATCTGAATTATCGCATCGTGAAGGGTGGAGATCTCCGTGCCGTTCGCGTCTTTGACTGTGACCACCTGCTGCTGCACTGAGACCATGAACTGAAGTTTGTACTGCTGCGGGGAGTCGAACTTCTTGTCGTAGTGGCACTGTCGAAGCCTGAAGTATTTGATGTGACTCTGAAGCATCAGCAGAGCCTCCTCCTGCGGTTTGAGAACCACTGCATTCCAATACTGAGTGAAGACGCGCTTGGGGCCCTCCGGAATCACATGGTCCGTAGTTGTCACGATCCACTGCACCATTGCCATGAAGATGTGAGGCCAAGGAGGCCCGTTGCCATGATTGTTGCCCTCCAGCTTGCACTTTTCGTTGTAGTTGATCCCCGCTTGCTTGAGGATGGTAATGATCGGCGCGTCGGGGAGGAGCAAGAAGCAGGTGAAGCTGGCGCCGATAAGATCCGCCAGGTCGCGACTGTTGTTGAGCGTCAATCTCGCCAATATCGTGATGAGCGCGGCCAGAGGCCCCACTTTGGAACCGGCTGCTTCCGCCTCGACCTGGCCCTTGAGCTTCGCGAGCTTCTTGTCTTTCTCGCCAGTGCCCTCGCTCTGGCCTTCTCCCTTGGGCTTGCTGCGCTTGTGAGTCACGAGCCATGATGGAGCAGTCGCCGCGACCTCCATCGTCGACAAGTGGAAGGTACCGAAAGTGAGCACGAATATGAGCCAATAACTCGGATACATTGTGGACTTGAGCCTGGCAAAGAGGACATTCGTACAAATCACTGCCATGACGGGCCTGATATGTTGTACTCCTGGATGCTGTACATACAACTGTCCCGAATGAGCGAACGAGATGTTTGTATGTGCTGTTGGTGTTCTCGAAGAGCGAACCACATACGAAACACTGATTAGTAAATGCTGCCTGCGATAATACTGCACGTAGTCCGTGATGATTGTGTGGATGTGCTAGCAGTTGACGACGTGTATTGAACGCACTCTTACAGCCACTCACTGTACACCGATGTTCGCCTTCCGTAGGGCCCTGTGCCTGAATGTTTGTGGGGCTAGCCTGGGGAGCATGATGACCAGGGGGAGGGATACTTACACTGAGCCAATGGGCCCGAAGCTTCTTTGTATCATTTTGGGTAAACCAATCAACAAGTTCTGCATTTTGGAAAAGGTTGAGCGGGGTATTGTCGAATTCAGCGATTTCCTTTCCCGGCCTTCCGAGAATTGTTATGAGCCTTGCCCGAAGACGAACAAAAACTTCTCAGAAGGCGCGAGGGCCTCCGAGGAGTCCCGCCGCCTTCTGAGGAGGCCTTCTTCTTCTCATTTCCTCCCCTCGCTCGCCGCCGAATGACTCAGAACCATCCATCCGGGCATTGCTTCATGGGGGGGGCGGTAGACGGGGGGGTGGGGGTGGGGGGGGGGGGGGGGCCCAAACGCGCACCTTCCTTACACTCTTGGAGCGCACGAGAAGCTGCACCTTTTTCTCACCGCCCTCCTCGATCGCACCCCCCCCCCCCCCCGATGCGCAGCGCCCGATCAGCGGTGCAGGCAGCCGAGCCTTTGGGACACACGAAGGCCAAGCCCGAGACGGGCCCCTTTGCCGCCCGACGAAGGTAAAGCCCGAGACCCGAGACGGGCTCCTTTGCCGCCCTCCTCGTCCTCGGGAGGGGGGGGGTGAGATTCATGGCGAAGCCTTTTTCGGTTTTGTCGCATACGTACTCGAAGAATCATCGAACAGGGCACTACACTGTTTAGTAAACGTCCGGCCTGCTGAGCAAACGCCACTTACGGAGGCACCCGAAGAAGGATGGAACAGGGCACTGCTGCTTAGTAAACGCCCAGGCCTCTTTAGCAAACGCTATTTACTGGGGCATCCGACGAAAAATTGAACAGGGCACTACTGTTTAGTAAACGCCCAGGCAATTTAGCAAACGCTACTTACGGAGGTCGGGGTGGTTTTCCATTTGGAGCTCTCGGTGGGGATTGATGTAGATATAGAGCCAACAACGGCGCCGGCAGCCACGCCGAAGTGAAGCACAAAGAAGATAACAGTCTTACGCATGCGGCAAGCGAGAGAAGCAGAGAAACAGAGAGAAGCATACAAGAGTGTGGGGGCCGAAAGGCAATTCATTGTCGATGGGTGCGTGGCCGAAGTGGGGTTCCACGGTGCCCCGATTGCTGATGCGTTATTGTTGTTGTTGTTGTGGTTGTTGTGATTGTTGTTGTTGTGGTTGCTGTTGTTGTGGTTGTTGTGAGGCCGCGAGTGGGACGACGACAACAAGAGTTACTAACAAACATCAACACATCAAAAATCCGCACCGCGGAACCCCACTTCAGCCACGCATCCAGTGACAGTGAAAGACCGTTCGGCCTACCACTTTGATACAGATCTACATAGACACAAGATTGTAAGGCTCGCTGCGCTTCGCCTGTTAATCTTGGCCATTGCACCTACGATGCTTGTCGACGTTGTGGTACGCATGCTGATGTTGCCCCCAACACGCTCTTCGAGCATTGCAATACCGGAACGGCGCGGCTGTGTGCCATTGCAAGAGGACTGGCACATTGCGCGCAATCGGGCTCCATTAGGAACAGGTTTCCGCAAGGGTGGGCGGGCGCTAGTGGAAGCAGCTCTGCCCTCGTAGTGTGTGTGTGTGTGTGTGTGTGTGTGTGTATGTGTCTGAGTGTGTGTGTGGATGGATTTGTGTGTGCGTTTGTGTATGTGTGTGCGTGCGTGCGTGTGTATGTGTGTGTGTGTGTTTGTTCGTGAGCTCAGCGAAGCCAACTACGATGTCTGTAGGCTGCGCAGACACAATGGCATCCGAGTCGATTGGGACGCCGGGTGGTCCGGGAGCTTGACAAGAGGAGACAAAGCGCCGAGCTTGCCAAAAGCAAAGGGAAGGGGCCCCCGCCGCAAGGGAAAGGCGAGCGGCCTGCAGACTCCTCCTGGCCAAGCAACGACCCCACTCGTCAGCGCTGGTCAGCCTCTGGCAGTCACCGCTGGTAGCTCTCTCGCAGCTGCCTCGCCACCGTGACCTGTTCTGAGTTTGGCGTCCATAGGCTCCGGGCAGTGGCCGCCGCCTTGGTCTTCTACCCTCCTCACTCCCATGCCTTCGCGGCACTCGCTTTTGCATCCTTGCACCTATTCGGTTCCCCCCCCCGCAGGCCCCCAGCTTCCGCTCGGGGCCTGCTTCCTGCCGCCGCCACCATTCCTGAGACGCCCCTTGCTTCAGTGCTCCACTGCGCACTGCGCCGCCCCACATTCCTTCACAAACTCCGCTGCGGCCTCCCGCTCCCGCTCGGGGTGGTTCCTTGGCCGCCCTGCCGCCGCCCTGGGTTGCCCTGCCCGGGGTGGGCCCTGCCTCGGTGGGCTGGTCTTGCCGCCCTTCGTGGCCTTCGGGCTCCCCCCCCGCGCCGCCTGTGAGGTGCCCTGCTCTGCCGCTGCAGCCCCCCGCTGCGGCCCCGGGCTCGCTGGCCTTCTGCAGGTCTTGTCCGGGCGCTGCCTGTGGCACCCTCGGGGTCTTTGCCGTGCCTTGCGCCGGCCGGGCGACACCCGCGGCCCCGCCGGTGGCTTGCCCGCCTGCCTGGTTTTCAGGCCTCCCTCCCAGGCACCGGCCACCGGTGTTCTGGGCGCTGCCGCGCCC